TACCAGTGTTATCGCGCGGGAACGGGACGGAGTATAATAAGCGTAAAAACGGGAACTATTCACAACTGGCAAAAATTTTTTTTCCAAGCCCAGTACGACCCGTGCCGCTTCTAGCGATCAAATACACAGTTCCCATGAGTCATATAGTGAGAAAAGTGAAGCTGACCTTCATATATATGCAAGCGTCAGTTCCATATCCTTCCATCGACACCAAGAAAAGATCGCCGAGGAAGTAACGGGCATAGAGACGAGAAAGCGGAAGGCCATAGCCATAACCAGCCTAAACAGAGAACCAGAATCCAGCAAATCTAGGAAAATAGAGCAAATTAGCGCTCAAATGGAGCGAAATCGTCTTCAAGGAAACTCACCAGTGGCGCCTGCGTGCCATCTCTTGGTGGAGGAGGGGCAGTACTATACATGTAGTTGAACAATCGTTCCACGATGGTCCGAGAAACACCACCGCCACGGTCGCAAATCTTAAAGTGAGAGAAAAAGAAATTATTGTTTCCGTAGGACGCCTGCAGGAAAAGAAAAAGCAGTACCTTGATGGATAAATCGGCTTGACCTCTGACCACGAAGATCTTGATGTCAGGGAGATCGTCATCAACACCATGGTGTTCAACGGTGGCACGCATGGCGTTCTAGAGACGATGTTAGTAACAAGTTAGTCAATTATTAAATACAATTATCAATGGTAACACACCTTTAGTAATTCAAACATTATATGATACAGATGACTCGGCACAGCAACAATTGTTATAGGTCTGTCTTTGTCGACAGCGTTATGCATCTCGAGTTTCATCGAAGGGCTTGTGAGATAGTAACGATCGCACAGGAATCTGAAAGGAAGCAAATAGCACTGCTACATCAGTACAGCAAGGGGGCTCAGAATGGCAATCCTCAGGTTATTGTCTGGTTTAAAGGCAGTTGGCACGATAATTTGGTACTCGGCCTAAAATGCTAGCAGGGCGCTATATAGTGGGAAAATGGCGAAAGAACGGAGTGAAACGGTCAAAATCCTGCGAAGAAAAAGCCTTCGTTCTCAGTGACTTGGAAATCAATTTCGGACGAGTTTCCCGTAGGCATCTTGCCAATAACCGCTACCGAAGCTGCGATTGCATGTGTGTGCTCATCCCTTCGCTTCATAGTTTGCTTAGCAAATGAATCAATACGAGCGTCAGGAACGGTCGTCCATTTGTGGGCGGGCGGGCGTGGTGGGCGTTCGGGTCGGTATGTTGCAGCTAGGGGCCTTATAAGGGTAGCTTCCTTGGGAAAAGGCGGTACATAGCGCCTGCTCAGGGGCGAGGAATTCCGTCCTGCCAGGCGTATTCTCCTACTCGTCTGGGAGATTTATCGTACCAACTGCCTTTAAGCGCGATGGTTGTACTACGAGCGTACAAACATTCATAAAAGGGCCAGATATGTATCGATCGGGTTAAAATTCATCTGAGCAGATGAAGAAATGGGTGCAGGGGTAACACTGTTAAGAACAAGCTTTAGT